CCCTGTAGCACTGGCCCACGTGACAGTGAAAGAAGGAGCGGGGGAGGCTGATTAGACTTGGCGAAGAGCGGGGAGGCTGATTAAACTTGTAGTGCCTTGCTAGGCCGAATGCGTACTTGCGGGCAGAGGCGGAGGGGAGAAAGGAGAAAAGTGAGCCCACTAGGCTACGGGCTGAGGAAGGAAACTGGCTGAAATTGGCCCATAGAGAAAGGAGGGTTTTTATTTAGATTTTTATTTAAATAATTACTGAAATGATGTTTGCATTATTAAAATTAGCAATTGAGCTCTAAAAATTTCAAGAAAATTCTAGAGAGTGTAATTAATCATGGAGAACTTCATAAAAATTGAATCCAGCCATATTATTTTATTTCCACACTTACTTTACTTCTAAATTAATTTAATCACCTACCGACTTAAAAAAATATCAAGTATTATAGGAAATTTGTATTTAAGTTAATTACATAATGTTAATCTTTCTCAACTTCTCCTCAGTTTTCTCATCTTTTCTTCCCATTGCAACGCACATGCATTTTTTAGTTTACATAAATTACCTATTTGGATATGTTCGTTTACGTCATATAGTCCCAATAAAATATTCCATGAAAGTATAAATTGGAAAGTACTATAAAAACCTCGTAGAACTTGGCTTTCCTGATTAGCTTAATATATATTTCCTAGAATTTTCTAAAGTTTGGACTTTTTAAGAGGCCCTTGTAATAATAGATACCAGAGCTTATAATGGAAATAAAAACTTTCAACCACAACTCCTGCTAGAGCTGTAGAATTTTACTATAAGATCGTATCTCCATCCTAGGTCGTTTAGAGAACTGAAAAGTAATTTCAAAAATAGATATGAGAAATAAAAAATGAATATTTTAACCCCTAAATAATCACTACTACAAAAGAGTTTTTTGCATACGGGCGGGAGAGATTTTCGCATGCGATTGGCGGGAAATCGCCATCTTTGCATGCGGCCAGGGCTCCCGCATGCGAAAAACCGACCACATCGCCATCTTTGCATCTTAAGCCAACTGCATGCAAAGAGAACAAATCGCGAAAAAAAATAAAATTCCAAAAAAAAAAACCTAGCCACAGGCGGCGGTGCCGCCGCCCGAGGTGCCGGCCGCCCCCACTCCCGTCACCGCCCGCCCCTGCTCCCGTCGGCCGCTCTTGGCTCCATATCCGGGCGGGACGAGGCCCGCTGCTGCTGGATCTGGGCGGGACGAGGCCCGCCGCTGCCGGATCCGGGTGGGCCGAGGCCCATTGCTGCCGGATCCGGGCAGGACGAGGCCCGCCGCCTCTAGATTCGCCCACTCGTTGTTGTCATCGGGGTCGGCATCGCCGCCACCACCCATTTCGTCGTTGCCCACTCGTCGTCGTCGTCGGGATCGGCCGTGCCGCCCGCCGCCCACTCCCGGCGCCTCCTCCTCGGCCACGCCGCCCGCTGCTCGGTGCCACCCGCCGCCCGCTCCCGGCGCCTGGCGCCTCCTCCTCGGCCGTGCCAAGAGGAAAGAGAGGGAGTCAACTGGGAGAGAAAGAGTGAGAGAGAGGAGAGTACGAGTGAGAGAGATTGAGGGGTGAGGGGAAAATATCAGAGAGGGGAGAGAGAGGAGAGGAGAAGAGATGAATTTTTTTTTGAAGTGGTGAGGAGGGAAAAGAACTGTTGATATTTTTACATGCGGACCACTTAAGGAGATTTTTGCATGCGGCTCATTAAGGGGAACGCATGCGAAAATAGTCATTAAAAAATTAATGTAAAAATATAAGAACTTCTAATCAAATTTTATGATATTAAATGAACTCATATGAAAAACTTGCCAAAAACAAAGATGTAGAACTCATTGAGATCTACCAATTTTCTTTTGCTCATTTCTGCATCCGAGTTTGATTGAACTATATAAAATTTGAATTTTAAAATGTAAAAAATTCAAAAAAAAATTCGAGTAGTAAATGATTTCAAATGGAAAAGTTGTCAACAACAAAGTTGTATAACTTATCAAGATCGACAACTTTTGTATTGGTCATTTTTCTATATGACTTTGTTTGGATAGTTTGAATTTAAATTTAGATTATGAAAACTTCAAACAACATTTTCAAATACTAAATGATTTCAAGTGAAAAAGTCATCAATAATAAAGTGGTATTACTCATCAAGATCTATAACTTTTGTTTTGGTCATTTCGTCATCTGACAAAGTGATTTGTAAGATTGTTCACAAAATGTACATATCTCTTATATAGTTGATAGAGATATGTAAATTTTGTGAAAATATTATTATCACCTTGTCAAATAAAGAAATAACCAAAATAGAAATTATAGATCTTGATGAGTTATACAACTTTGTTATTGATGACTTTTTCAGCTGAAATGATTTACTACTTCAAAATATTATTTGAAGTTTTGAAATTCAAAATTTTTAATTGATAAAACAAAGTCACAAGAAAAAATGGCCAAAATAGTACTAGTAAGAACACAATAACATGATAGAGCATGATTTTAGAAACATTTAGGAAAAAGAATAATCCAATTTAAAGTTCATATGAGTGAGATACACTAGTTTTAATTTTTTTAAATTTTTCAAATTTTATTTTCGCATATGGCTCCTTAAGACACCTGTATGGAAAAATCGATTTTTCCATGCGGGCGCTTAAGTGAGCCGCATGTAAAAATGAGGTCACCTCATTTTTGCATGTGGACCTCTTAAGAGGCCCGTATGGGAAAATTGATTTTTCTATACGGGCGTCTTAAGGATCCGTATGCGAAAATGCCGCTCGATTTTTGCAGACGCCACTAGTTATGGTCCGTTTGCAAACATAGGTTCTCATAAAAAAATCACTTTTGTAGTAGTGAATCTCAAATGAAACAACTTTCAACTACAAAGTTTTAGATCTCATAGAGTGCTACAATTTTCATATAAAATTTATCATCTTACATTATATGAATGTGTTGTGTTTTTTGAAAAAAATTTAGTGGTGCTCCCACTTTTAAGGGAGGTTATCTTGTATAGAACCATATGTTAATGGAATATTTGAACCTCTAAGCGATCTGAAGTGAAAAATTTCAATAACAAAGTTGTAGATTTCATCGAGACATTTTTTACTTAAAATTTGTCATCATCCAAATTTATAATTTTACTAGAAAAAATACCCGTGCGTTGCAACGGATAAAAATATTTTTAAATCACTATATATTATACTCTTTGGTTTTGGGCCAAAAGCTTATACCTAGTCCTAGACTAGCCCGCTACCTCCCTTTGCTTGACTTTCTTCTCTTTGACTCAACCCATAAATGGAGATGTAGACCCAGCTTGCATAGCTTACTGCCATCTTCAACCTCCGGAAAACAGTCTCGTGTCAGTCTCGTGTCAGTATAATGCTAGAACCGATCCTCCCTATCAAATTCAATTGAATATTTCTTGATCTCCCACAATTGGTTGAGGGCTTTTTGATATACTTATCTCATGTTTCCATTTTTATCAAATCCGAGCTAATCCGTAAATCTCGGAATAAGGATGCAGGCTTTTAAACGGAGGAAAAAATGCGACGAAAGAAAAGCGGAGGGAAAAAGGAAAAAAAAGGCAAAAAAAAAAGACGACTGACAAAAAGGTAAGGGAAAAATGGCGAAAAAAGACGGATGAAGTCTTTCCTATTTTGTTATCTCTACTATTATAAAAATTAAAGATGTTTTTGCCGGTACTTTGGTACGTCATCCGTGTATAAGTCGGTTTTTAAGTTCGTTCGCTTTTGCAAATAAATCTCTGTATTTGAATCAGTTTTTAGGTTTGTTCGTTTTTGAAAATACAAAATGAGTCGTATAAGAAATCTCTTTGAAAAAACTCGCATGCTAATTTGAGATGATCAGACTCCTAACTGCAGCTCATGATTTAAAAAAAAACAAACATTCAAGGGAACTACCACAGTGAATTTCGCCTTAGCTAAACCATATAAAATAATAAGATTAAAATAGCCTTCAGCCGTTGCAACGCACGGGTATTTTTTCTAGTTATATATAGGTATATAGATATAGATTTACAGTGCTCCTATTTTTATAGGTGATTTCCTTACATAAAACTATCCGCAAAATCAATTTTTACATGTGGTTTTCTTAAATACCCACCCATAAAAATAGGTTTTCATATGCCTATGAACGCTGAGACGGCCTCAAACCTTTTTTATAGGCATATTATCCTTTTAGGGTGCCTGTGAAAAGAAAAGCATAGCATCCAGGAAATTTTTTTTATGAAACTGTTGCCGTCAATGAAGCCGCATGAACAATCGACACAAACTAAGGCGGTAAGGCCTTGTTTAGTTTCCATATAAAAATTTTATACCCTGTCACATCGAACGTTTAAACACATGTATAAAGTATATAAATATACATTAAAAAAATAACTAATTGTACATATTGTGATTAATTTGTGAGACGAATCTTTTAAGCCTAATTGCTCCAGGATTTGACAATGTGGTGTTACAGTAAACATTTAATAATGATAGATTAATTAGGCTTAATAAATTCTGACCGATTCTATAACTAGCTTTTTTTTATTAGTGCCCGAACACCCCATGCGACACCCTATATAATACCTGATGTGACACGTATCTTAAAAAAACCCCGTAATTTCCTTGCAAAAGTAACTTTTCATGCTATTTTCATTTGTGCAAATTTCATGAAGACCCACCCATAAGAATAGGTTTTCATAGGTGATCTATAAGCATGTGGCAGCCTCAATCTTGTTCACGGATGCATTTTTTTGGTCACCTATAAAAATAAAAACCTAGCGAATATTGATTTTCTAAAGTAGTGATTCTTTTAAAGAAACAACAAGCTTGTCAATGAAGCTGCTACAGTAACAATGAACACAAATTAATTTCCTTGCTAAAGTAACTTTTCATTATATTTTCATCCGTGCAATTTTCTGCCACCGAATGCATGCCAAATAGGCATAATTATACCATTTCGTCGGCAACATGCAAACTGTTAAAGCACATGGATCATACAGATTTACATAAACTTTCGTGATAATTTAAGGAGCATAATTAGGATGAGTTACATTGTTCTCATGACTACTTCAATACAATGTGCCAACATCTTAACGAGCAACATACTACCAAAATCAACAAAAATCATTGTTGCAGTCTTACAGGCCTAATATATATAGTTCACATATAAATATTTAGCTATCCAAAATTATGACCTAAAACTCGAAAGATTTAACATGTTTAACCAAATATACCACTAAATATTTCCTTGATAGACTCCTCAGAAAAAACACGTTCATCATCATCAGAGTCATCATCGCTCAAGAACATGAATGGGCAGCCGGTGTCAAAGAAGCCAACCTCATATTTAACTTCATCATTCGCAGGGTGCTTCAGAGCAACCATCCCTTGATTCGCGCAACCATGACAATAGCCTAATTTTAAAAACATACACATAAATACATAGAACAACAAAGTTGCAACAAATCTAAAGATATATAACTGTTCATGTTGAACGAAACAAATGAGAAGAAAGACATACCATCATCATGTGATTTCACAGGCCAACATAAATAGAATTTCTTTCCGTATACTTGCTTCACTTCAGCAAAATAACATGTCACTGACCAGTCTTCGGAAGTGGGTTTCTTCATCTTCACTGTGAAGTTATAATGGTGAAAAATCTTCTGATATGCATCCACACTAAAACATTGATACTGAAGCTCATCTAGATGGTATACCACATCCTGATGAAACAATACCTCATAAGTAAACCTTTTCAGCTTTATAACAAGAAAAATAAAACAGATGAAACCACACATACTCTGAATTCATTTTTTCCTTCAATATATTTTTCAAAGGCCAACATGACTTCCTCGCTCATCCATCGTTTTCCGTTCTGAACAATTTCTTCTGTAGACAAATTATGCCTGTTCCAAATTATACACAAATAGACTAGCTGAATACCATCTTTTACAGCGAAGTGTTGCATAATAATTTTCACAAGCATATACTTTTCGACACTTATGAACTTCAACTAGATAACTGCACTGTCTAGATCTCTAGAAGTCTATGGAACATGTTTTACATGTTTAGTGTTGTATAGTGAAATATGTTTCACATGCTGACAACTAACAAGTAAGAACACCAATGGATCAATTATGATTGATTTACTCCTACAACTAATTAATCCTGGGAGGGAAGAGATCAATTTTGATTTGAAACTTACCGTCCTACATCTTCAGCTGCAGGGGAAAGAGACTCTGAATCATGAGATGATTCAGCATCGAACTCACATGGATAAAGCTTAGATGATTCTGGTAACTCTACATTGGGCTGAGCAGCATCTTTGGGTGGGTCGCGGAAGCCATTTATCATAGCTGCGAATCCCTCCCTAAGATCATCAAATGTGTGTTCAGCCAGGTACAAATGTATTTTCCGTTTCCTCTCGGACCTGCATCAGATCACACCCAAGAAATTATAAATATGAATTTTATGCAAAAGAGTAATGTAATTACAGAGCAACCAACAATGGATGATCATACATAACATATCAATCATGGTTGGGACTTGGGACTTGAGAAGTTCTTACCTTGGCGACAAAGCTTCCTCTACATCTGGGAGTTTGGCAGTTGCAGAATCAGGTAAATCACTATCCATGCTACTAGCTCTCACTGTAGCCCTAGATCAGAATAATTTAAATCGAAAGTCCGTCAACATCTATCCCAATTTATACAAGGAGCATAAAAAGGTAAGTGGTTTTTATCAGAAAACACTTAAAAGTATACTGCTCATATCTTGATTCAGGAATTATCAATTACTTTGTGAGATTTATGGTAGTGATTCTGCAACAAAAGAGATGCTAAAAGCCTAAAAGTCAAGTAGACTGATAGACCAATCTGAACTGAATAAGGAATAATGAACAATGTGACTTTTATCCTGAAAGCAGCAAGCCTGCAAGTGAAAATGAGGCAGTTGCTGCTAGTGTGCATAGCACATAGTGAGCTGGCATTTTTAAGAGCTTGAAATGGTTCTTTCATCAGAAGTCACTTTTAAACTGAATGAAGAAACGCATAACATCACTTTTATTCCAAAAAATAATTTCATACAGCAAGCAGCAACCCTGGAAGTGAAAATGAGGCAGCTGTTGCTAGTATGTATTACACATAGTTAGCTGGCTCTTTTAAGAGCCTGAAAGGGTTCTTCCAATAGAAGTAAATATTAAACTGTAATCATGTTGTACTTCTATCAACCATGTGCTTTCTACTTCTATTCATCATTTCACCACCGGTGGTGAACAAAGAATTATGGTGGGCTGTCAATATGGTGATGTCCACAAACTTTGCAGATCTAAGAGCATGGCGTTAACACTTGGATTCATGATGGAGGATATAAAACAGGAGTCTTTTATGAACCAATAAGCCCAGAGGTGGTTGGCCCGCATGGGCTGCCATCTGAATCCTATCAGGTGCTTCTGGAAATAGGTAAAATGATCTAAATATCAATTTGATAATTCTCTAAAGAGGGTTTGCGGAAAATTATTAGAGATTTCACTCTCCTCACTCGTTTGATTGCTCATACTATGGCTTGGTTGATCTGGGTTTGGTTGTTTCTAACTGTGCACACAGTTTTCCTTGCATTGTATCAAATAGGACCAACCTGTAGATGGCTCCAAGTCAGAGTGATCAGAAGGACGCCTTGGGCTAGGACAAGATATATGGCCACGCTATAGAGGATGAAGTAAAGAAAAATCTGTAATTATTATATGATTTTCTCCTAACATAACTTAGATTTATGACCCTTGGAAGTGGATTGGGAGTTGTCCAAAACATATCAGATGTGATGGGGATAATAACCACCCCATTGCTTCAAAAGAATCGAGGACATACCTATCAGCTGAATCAAGTGCAGAGGGTGAATCATTCAGCGACAGTGTCTTGAATTTTGGCATGTCTGTAGTAGTAGCACCAAGCTCACTATTGCTCACCTCACTTGCATCCTTCTCAGCCCTGATCAGACCATAGTGTTCAGATATTGTCAAGGTATTGAAAAATGGGCAAAATATTAGTTTTTTTTAATTAAAAAGAAACACACATACAGTGATTCAGTTTGTGGCTTGACTCGTCCTCGTCTGCCTTGGGATCGCTTGGGGCGGTCTGAATAAAGAACACTTTGCCGAATAAGAGTTCTAGCTCCAGCTACTGTATGTCCATGTCTCCTGGCAAATTCTGCTCGTCCTTGTCTCCTGCCAAAGTTGTAAATTTTAGACAAGTTTTACCAACAACCGTATCTTGTTCTATATACTTCTGAGGTGATAAATGGTGTTATTTGTTCATTCCTTTCATAAGGAGAAGGTGTCAGCTTAGACACCCTTATGGCCAGATGTCACAACGCTACTTCCTGGCCAGGTTGAAAAAGCATTCAGTGCAGAACACCTCTAACTCTCTAAGCGCTTATAATCCCAATAGCCAATCAAAATATCTCAGCGCCCAGAAATCACCACTCGGCAGGAGCACAACATGTCATGTGTGGAAGATTTGTTCAACTCAGAAATATTTGTGGAGAAGGAAAATTCCCTTCAAAACTCGCAATAAACATTTCTCTCCGGTGACTGCTACTTATGTGGGAAAAAGGAGGGGGACTCGCAATAAACATTTTGCCACAGCCCTAAGAATAGGAATATGTGCATTTTTCTTAAAGTTGTGGTTTAGATTGCAATACACCAAAGAATGCTCAGCATATTATGCTGTTGCAGGGTCAATTAGGTTGAATATGAAAACAAGATGGCTGCTGGGGGGTAATATGCATATCTGAACCGTTTATTACCAACTAAAAAATAATTTGTGAGTAAAACTTTTACATGTGTGTACTTAGCGATTGGAAAGGAAATGCTGTAAAATAAACTACGATGAAGAAAACCACAAAATTAAGTCTCAAAATTCAAAATTTGGCTTATAAGCATATTCATAAGCGAAACAATGCTGCTGCAAAAGTGGTTCATTGACAGAAATAAACTGTGAATCGACCTTGCACGACACAATTGCTCCAACATTTTCTACTCAAAATTAGTTCTTATGTGTGTGTCTGTTTCAGTGTGGAGGCTCGACCTCCTCCTCTGGCCCACTGCAACGGAGAGGGGGAAGGAGAAATGGAGGGAGGAGGTAGCTCACCACTTTCGGTCAGAGGGAAATGCTGCTGAACCTGGACGAACGAGGTCGTCCATGTACTCCTCCAACTCTTCCTCTGCCGAGTCGTCTTCCATGGAAGCAAGAACAGAGAATCGGCTTTTCCTAGGACGGCGATCGGGCACGCCTCCCCGGCCAGCTCGGCCGCCGGTAGCAGGGCCGCCGCCGCCGCCGCCATCGCCAACTCCGTCCATGGCGACAGCGAGAGTTTGGGGAATTTTGGTTCTAGGGTTTGGGGTCGAGTTTGGTTCGCATCGCACCGCATCCAAATTCCGACCGATCACCAAATTGGAGCCGTCTTGCGTGCACGTACGGCTTCACGTATATTCCTTCTTTCTTGAGAGGATTTCTTTTATGTTTTGGCGAGAATTCGTCTGGAAAATTTTGATTCCTTTTTTCCGTAAAATTTGAATGCCTCGTAGGAGTAGTCCGGCACAGGTTCAAACAAATTTAAATTTAGGCTATCTATTGGAGCCTATTTTCAGTTTAGGAAATCCAAAAATATTTTTTTTGGCATTAACTGAGAGATACATTTTAATAAATTTACCTAAGAGATACATTTTATCTCATTTTCATTAGCAATTTCATCAATAAATTTGTTTCTTAATTTTGAAATAAATTAAAACTCAATTAATAATATAATGGTTTTCTTGGTTTACGTTCGTACTTCATGTTTATTATCTTTCATCTTCTGGAATTCCCTCTCTTAAAATAAGTTATATTTTAAAGACCGGCCTATTAGGATGGTAATAATCTACTATTTTTGTCCCAAAATATCATATTACGAGAGAATTTTAATAGTGGTGGAGTAAGATCAAAGTATATCTATATAAATCAATACTCTGCAGAAAAAAATAGTTTTAATAGCATGACGCCACTAGTATCGGCACCCAACGGATTACGAGCAACCCCTCCTATCTTCTCTTCTCTGTAAAACCATTGTTTTTTTCTCATTAAAAAACCTTTTGTTTCTTTGCAGCAACTGGCTAGGAATTTCTTTTATAAATCTTGACTTGAAAATTTTCAAATCTCGACTTAAAAGTTTTTAAATCTCGAGTTAAAAGTTTTCCAATCTAAGTTGAAAGTTTTCAAATCTCGAGTTGAAAATTTTCAAATCTAAGTTGTAAGTTTTCAAAAATTTTCTTGCAAATTTAAATTGCGAGTTGAAAGTTTTTAAATCTCGAGTTGAAAATTTTCAAATCTGAGTTAAAAGTTTTCAAAATTTGTCTTACACTTTTAAATTTTGAGTTGAAAATTTTCAAATTGAGTTGAAAGTTTTTAAAATTTGACTTCAAAATTTTCAAATCTAACTTGAAAAGTTTTCAATTTGTTAGTAGAAAAATCTTCCTGAAAAAAGAAAATCTTATCTTATTTATTGTTATTATCTACTTAGTTAGACTAAACTTTCAGAAACCCTCGCCGCCAACGCGGACGCGCGCGTTAGTTTTTACGCATTTAGTGTACTTTTTTTTTTGCAAGAATTCAGTATACTTTGAGTCCCTACGAATAAAGAAAGACTACGAATCGAATCAACCATCATGCATCATCGCATATGTATTAGCTGTGTGCGTACCGGTGATGTGCTGACTCATCAACAAGTAGCGGCGGCGGCGACGACTCCTCCGGTATTCCTCCGGTGGTTGGCCGCTCTGACGACCTCATCGACGACTGTGTAGAGCCAAGCGATATCTGTCGCCTACCCTAGCTAGATTTATGGATATTTTAATTAAATTAGTTTTTATCCCTTCCCAGCCAGATTCTGGCCACATATACCAATGAGTATATATGTGGGGAATACTAAATAGCTGTCGTATGATTTTTGATAGCTAAATCATTTATGTTTCAATATATTTAGGACCGTTGTTTCATACGTTGTAGCAAAATGTTTCACGAGGTGATTTACTTGTGTTGCAGCTTTAAAAAAGATTGAAACATCTTCTATCTACTTGGTGAAACATTTACAGTGTTTCAGCTTTTTAAAAGATTAAAACATTTTCGATCTACTTGGTGAAACATTTTTTATCTACTTGGTGAAACATTCGGAACCGTTGTTTCGTATGTTGTAGCAACATGTTTTATGGGGTGATTTGATTGTGTTCCAGCTTTTATAAAAGATTAAAACATTTTCGATCTACTTGATGAAACATTTTTGGTCTACTTGGTGAAACACTGCATGATAAAAGACTAAAAAATCATTCGAATCCTATATAGACAGTCCCTTATATATATATACCCGTATACGAGTCAGAACCGAGTTCTTATGATTCTGTCTGAAACGGAACAATAATCGATCAAATATTTGTCAAGGAAATGGTCAGAAACAGAGTAGAGAGAATGGCTTTGAAATGTCAAGGAATGAGGTCAGAGGGAAATGCCGCTGCCATCGCCATCCCCGTCCATGGCGACAGCGAGAGTTTGGGGAATTTTGGTTCTAGGGCTCTTTCACTGTCAGCTGCCTCATGGAGGCTAAAGAAAGAAGGGGAAAGAAAAAAAAGAGAGAGGGGAGAGACTTTTGTATATTTGTTTTCCGGAAGCTAGCTTTTGCCCAAAATTATTATGAGATCAAATAGAAGCATCACATTGGTTGAGCACACTGAAATTTGATCATAATAACCAAAAGTAATTTATTTATATTTAATATTTATATAATTGTATTTTCATGGTTTAAATACGAGTAACATGGCGTGCATGTAGCTAGGTTGAATACACGTGGCGAGCAACAAAAGATATTTCAGAATTAAAACCCTTAATTGGCACTTGTATCAACCGTTAGCGATCCTAGAGATTAAGGCCTTATTTGTTTCAGCTTAATATTATTGTAATCTAGATTATTGAGTTAGATTAATATAAGCTGAATTATAATACGCTAGCCTAGTATAAGCTATGAGTTGTTTGTTTCTCTGGATTATTGGAGATATGGATTGTTGGGTTTAAAAATCTAATGTCTATAGCTATTTGTTAATCCTTTGTCACTGTATACAACAAATACATAATCACTGAAAAGAATATATAGCAATATCAATATTGTGACTTGGATTACGACGACAGCGGCAGCACAGAGGAGGATTACGGCGACAGCGGCAGCACAGAGGAGGTAGATGCACGGAGTGGGAGGAGGAGACGGCGGTGGTGGTGGCACTGCTTGGGGAAGAAGCCGGGGCACAGAGTAGGGGTGGTAATGATGCTACTTGGGGAACGAGCCAAGGAAAGGAGTTGTGGCGCGGAGTAGGGGTGGCGGCTGCATGGTCGTGTGAGGAGCCGAATTCGCGCGCGGTTGGGGATAGGGGATGTGGATGCGGTGCGACTGGGGGATGAAAGGGAATGCACGCTTGCCAAGAAAAGAGGCGATTCTATCTATTCGGTTTGATGGCAGTGGTGGGTAATTTGCGTAAAGTTTTTAGGGGTAGTGGGTCTTTAGCCACCTAATAATTTAAAAAAAAAATTTTAGAGGAGATTACCAGATTATAATAATCTGGCTATAATAATCTATTATAATAATTTACATGTTTATTTCAGATTACACCTAATAATCCAGATTATTATAATTCTAAGCTGAATCAAACAGGCATAAGTTGAGCAATAAAAAAACAAGGCTAATTTTCATGAAACTCCACTTATTATGATCCAAGTTATATGAAATAATCAATAGTATGGTTTTGTGAAATCTAAGATCATAATGCATGGAGTGACGTGCCAAAAGCAATGTGGTTTTGTGTAAATTGTATCATGAAGGTGATTTTACGAAATTTACTCTAACCGTAGAATTTGAGTTATAAATTCAAAAATTGCTTATGATTAGTGTAGTATGTACCTTGCGCCGAGTGTACGAGATGATGAGGAGCCGTTAACTTGTGGCAGCTGCTGGTGGTCACGAGTTGCAGCAGCAGGAGGGCTAACGTGTTCAGCGCCTGTGTGCTCCATATATTAAACCTGTCGATCGGAATCAGCTATGTACGATTTTGATTCTCCTCCTCTTACTGCTTCTTCTTCTTATTTATTATTTTAATTATTATAATTATAAACGAGAGTACGTGCCGATCGATATAAATATCATATCCGAGCAACAAGGTTGCCGGATTTGATGATCGGGGAGCAGTAGGTTAATTGATCTGTTCTTTCATGGAGAAGAAGAGGTCACTATTTCTATTCAGAATTGGATTTGATTTAATTCCAAGATAAAACAAAGCCAGCTGGTACGTATCAACATATGTATCCCACAGATCGTTCCTGTACTCAACTCTGAATCAGACGAACATCAACCATGGAACAATTAAACTCCACGATTTCCAGCAAGAAAATTCAGAAACAATGAATATCTTATTATCATCACAAAGATGCAGAATGATCAATTTCCTTTATATGAAAAGGCCCAATGTATTCCCTTTCGTTTGGTTCCCGTTAACTGAATTAGTCCAGATCAAACAGATTCGATTTGGTTTACCCCCTTACGTGATCAAAGCCAAAGAGTAAGATGAGTAATTAAATTCTGTTTCTCAAATAAACATACACATACTAGTACTCTTGAGGCAACGATTGTGAACACCTTCTTTTTTTCTTGATACGATGTAGTATATACGTGTCCATATATATAGAAATAATATATACAAAGATGAATCGAAATAATAATTTAAATGTTTCAGCAAAAAACAACAGAACAAACTGAGTTTAATAAATTTTCTCCCCTGCAATCCTCTGTAATTTACCTTTCAAATTCGCCTGAATTAACCTACGGGGCGACCTATGTATATATGTACGTATATACGTACGGGCTTCGTATATATACGTCGATCAGCTAGTGCTTGCCTCGGTGGCGCGCGCCCTTGGTGAGCACGGCGACGGAGACGGCGGCGGCGGCGAAGGCGCAGATGATCGCCGACGTGGTGACCCTCCAGCAGAAGGCGCCGGCGGCGTGGCAGAACTCCCCGTTGACCCACCGGCCGGCGACGGTGTCGGCCCCGGCCACCCCCAGGTACAGCGGCGCCATCCTCCGCACGGCGAACACCGCGCCGGCCGCCGAGAAGAGGAGCCCCATCGTCACCACGTCCAGCAGCGCCACCGCCCACCCCGCCGCCGCCTCCCTCACCACCGACAGGTACAGCGCCGCCGCCGAGCACACCGCCGACACCACCGCCGCCACCACGAAGTACCTGACACCAATCTCAAACCAAATCAACCTCATGCAAATTAAGCTAGCTATCATATCAATGGAGCCCTAGCTAGCTAGGTTTTAAGCTGCGTGCGTACACGAAGGCGGGGTATTTGGTGTAGGAGACGGCGCCGCCGTAGTTGAAGGGGAAGGCCTGGCTCGCCGTGGCCATCACGACGGCGGCCGCCACCGACAGCCCGACCACCGCGATGCGGAAGAAGAGGCTCACCGCCCTCGCCGCGCCGTCCATCTCGGTCATCGCCGGAGATGACAGAGACAACCAACACAAGCAAACCCCAAAACAAGAGATCGATACGATAATGGCGACAGGCCAATCACTCTGAATATATATTACTAATTATTCAGACATTCAGAGAACTGCGTTCTAGGTGGGCAAGCAACCGTATGTGTATCTTTTAACTCACGTCGTCAAAGATCATGAATAATAATTGCATATGCCTCTTGGATTTAGAAATTAGTATCGGCAGATCTCTGAAACATGATCACGTCCATACGGAAAATTAAACTGAACCCAGATGCACCTAGATTTGCTATATTTTTATACCACATGAAGAAGAGAGATTTTGCATCGTGTGCATTGGATGATGATGAAGAAGAAGTTTGAGCTAGGTTCGTTACAAGTTGGTGAGCGAGATAGACACAACTACTGAACTGCAGCTAACTACTTATATGCGCTTGTCTACATCAAATTAACCTTAAATACCTTTAAACTCGATTGCTGTGTCCTTTGCGAGAAACAACGGTCGCTTGTAAACTGGGACACGTCCATCAGGAATTCAGAGAAAAGCCTTTTGTTTATTTCAAGAGTGGTTCAACGGCCGAACGACATCGATCGATCGATTTGGACTTATTTGTTATAATCAGTATATATACATGTTAAAAACATTAGACAACTTTTCCGTCAAATCGAGTCGTTACACAAGGATTTGACGCAATTATATAATTAATATATCTCAAATTCGTTTGCAGAAAAAGCTAACCGCAGAACAAATATACAGATTCAAGTTTAGTTCAGATAATTTTTTCCATGGTTAGGCATCCAGGTATTTTTCACATTTTTTCTGGACAGATTTTTTTATACTTCATAGTAACTTCATGAATTTGGTTTCAGCGAAGTCAACTAATTGGTCTCCATCGTCACGCAAACGTAACTGAAACGGCCGTACCAGTTTGTCATAGTTATGTGGTATGAAACGTAAGATAGCTATCCTATAGGCTTATTTTGCCTCCTGTCAAACTCGATGATTACAAAACGAGGATTCATTCAAACTGGAATAGTTCTTCATAAATTATATTTTTTCTGTCAAGAATACTATATTCAGTATTTTAGTGTAATAAGTGAAACGCAGTTTAACAGTTTCATGTAATTAATCATTGTCCTTAACCTTGGCCATCTCAAATTACTGATGTCATGGCATTAGCAGCAGTTCATCACTGTTGCTACTTTAAAGGCACTATAGTTTATACTACGTACCTATGAAAACAAAGAAGCAAGATTATTAACAACATGAAACAATCCAGCAACTTGTTCACAGCCTTTGTTTTCCAGCAACTTGGGCATAGAAAAGCCCAGCCTTGAAAAGGCTAATCCTAAGCCCAGCCCAGGAGTATGATAAGCCCTTTAGGCCCAAAGCCTGTCCAGCCCAGCAATGATCTGTCTTGTATTTGTGTAACCAGTGCAACCCACAATTGATTTGTTTTCTTTGTAGCTTGATAGTTAGGCGGTCCCCGAACATGAGAAGAAGTTTTTTTTTTCATTTCCTACAAAAATTAAAGCCATTACTATAAAAATCCACATTGCATGGACATATTATTTTTTAGATAAAATGAATCTTTCGCTAAGTAATAAAATTAAATAAAATTTTGCGGTGCTTAAAAAATACCTAGAGATACTAAAATTTTACACCAAAACTTTTGGTATCTCAAAGTATCTAGTACTTAAAAATACCAAGATTTACACTAGAAAATATGGTTTCTAACCTGCGATATTTTTCTAAGGATAGTAAAATTAGCCTAAAATTAAAGTATATATATAGTACCTTCAATATAAACGAGCTATATATTGCCCTATTGGCTACTCCCTCCATTTTAATATGAATCTGGACAACATCTTGGAATGGAGGGAGTACTAGCTAAAACAATTATGCTTTATTGTAAGTACTTGCACGTAGTGGCTAGAACAACTTCTTTCTGGTTGCTTTGATGTACTTGCACATAGTGGTATAGCAACTTCCTCTCCTAACTGCAGGGATTTAGGGAGTACCTGATTTTTCCGTTGAGGCAGTTTATAAAATACAATCCTTCTTCCTAGTACATGTTTGTTCCTATACCTAATGAAAATATATATATGCAGAAGATTTCGGACCCTTGCTGTTCACAAGTTAACAGTACAAGTACTTAATTATTTTTTAAATAAAACTATATATCAGTCTCAATGATTTTCCATTATATTGGATAGGGCCGGCCGGCTAGAAACGTGCCATTTAGTGTCTTGTACGCAAGCTGTCGATCAAATGATTGTTGAGAGCATGGCCATGGAGAAATTGAATGTTCTGTGAAGGAATATAATTTACCTTTTGTTTAGTCTCAAATTGTATATAGATGAGAAGATGAGACTTGATCATAGACGACTTGGATTACTTCAAGTGGGTATTATTTTTTTCTTGCATGAGAAAGTACAGGTCATCTAAAGTTGTGTGAACAGAAAAGGATGTGAGGCTTGTTTACTATTGAATGGTAGTTAGAGTTGTCAAGTACAGAGGGAAGGGCTACTTGGTGGTCACTCTCACCAGAAAAGAAATTGCAAACTGGGGTTGAATAAATGGATTATTATTTTGTTTTATTCCTCCTACTCCCTTTTTTTATGATGCAGACTCTTTAGTCAATGGCTGCACAGGAACAAATTAATCAGGCAATTAACCTAACTTTCTTTTTCTGAAAATTAAATTCGGTTAACAACTTTAACTTGGAAATTTATTAATTCCTAGGAAGATTTGTATACAAGCTAATTAAATTACTTTTAACAGTTTGGTAAAGAAAACGACAGGATCAGCATAATAGCTTCAAAAAGTTCACATCAAAATAAGATTTCTGAACAAAGTTCATATCTGCTTGTACTGATCCCTTTCTACCTTATCCAATCTCTTTTCTCTTACATAATCTTTATGTCTGCTACTTATAAAAAAATAAAAGTTGCTTCCAACTGATCTTTCATCTGTCGTTCATCCCATATGCCGCTGCATCCAACGACCTCCTTAATTCGATCTCTCTTCGGAAAATCACTATATTTCAAATTAATGTATATACTTTTGGCCATCATGTTCTTATAATCTTAAACATTTAGATGTCACATCATTAATCTTAGTTTTAGACGAATATAACAGATAACTCAGAAGGAGATTAATTAATTAATTGACCCAACAATATATTAATCTCTTTGCAGTTACAAACTTCATCTTCTTCACATATAGAGATCAACTAATGGTGGCAATGGCAGCCATGGCCACATCTCGGCTCCGGCTTGCGTTCGTCGGAGACCGGCACGTCCTTCAAGTACAGCGACACCGACAAGGCGACGCCGGCGGACAGCGAGGCGGCGCCGGAGGCGCGCACCCGCAGGCAGAACGCACCCGCCGCGGCGCAGACGCCGGCGACCCTCCGGCCGCAGGTGCCGAAGTCGTCGACGGCGAACGACAGCGCCGCCGACGAGTAGAGCAGCACCTGCGCCGCCGTGTCGACGAGCTCGGCCAGCGACGCCGCCGCCTTGGCCTCCCCGGCCCTGCCGCTCGCCTCCAGCCACACCGCCGCCGCCTGCAGCGCGGCGCATATCACGGTGGCGGCCAGCGAGTACCTCAGCGAGCTGTAGTCGCTGTAGGAGACGCCGCCGCTCGTCGGAGCGGCGCCGCCGGCGGCGGGCTGCGCGGCGGCCGTGGCCGTCATCACCGCCGACACCACCGACAGCGCCACCGTGGCAATGCGCAGCGCGAGGCTGGCGCCACCGCGGCCTGAGCAGCTAGAGCTAGACTTGGCACGAGCCATGGATCAAGTAGCTCAAGCTCACTCCAGGATAAGGCTATGCTTGCATAAGCAGAAGTCTCAGTATTAGCTAAGCTGAGCTGAGGCTGAGCTAGCTACACCAAATGGGCAACCTCTAATTAATTACTTCTCTCATCCTAAAATATAAGCATTTTTGATCTTTATAAAAGTTAAATATTTTTTAAAAAAGTTACGTACATATTATGATAGTTCGTTTAATGATAATACCATAATATTAAATTTACATGATTAATCTTTTTAAAATTTTTTGCTATCAATAGTCAAAATTTAAAAAGTTTGACTTGGCACTATTCTAAAAATGCTTATATTTTAGGACGGGGGAGTACTAATTAATAAATGCTGAATTATATTAATTTATTTGTTAATCCAGGACCGCGGTTAGATAATTAGATTAGGAGAGAAGTTAACTAATGCAAATGAGCGTATTAGATGAAGGCTACATGGTAGTAATTAACAGACAGCGATCGATCGATCACTGTCAGGAGCGCTAACTAATAAAACTCAAGTAGTCAAGTTGGGCAATGATTAATTCGAAGCCAGCTTACATGATCCATTGACTTGTCATGCTAAGCAACGTTTTGGCCCCCGGTTTGGACTGATTGGCCACGTTCAACTGAAAAATCATTATTTTTTTTTCTTCTAACAACTTTTATGTTGTATATGTATTTCCCATAGACGATTATAGCACGCATTCTTATCTAAGGTAGGGAGTTGTTTGTGCTCATCATAACATCAAGAGAACAAGCTTGAATTTTTGGTTAATACGCGGCTAATTAAATCCACAGTTCGGTTCATGTCTCGATCCATTAACCACCAAAATTAATCTAATATGTCACCTTGGTCATCAAAGAAGAAGGTGACATGGTGATAAAGACATGGTATATGTGATACAATGGTTGAGGCAAGAGAAGAGACAGGAGTAGATATAGAACGATGGGAGGTTAATTAGTGAAGTATCTTCCACAAGGGATCAAGCTAAGGAGCCCGCTGAATATAATGACATACTCACTCTGTCAAAAAAAAACTTAACCTAGGGGTCTTCTCCTAGTACAATTAATCTAGACTAACCTTTATCCAGATTTATTGTTCTAGGAGGAGTCACATCCCCTACCCCTCCTAGGTTAAGTTTTTTTTTTTTAAGATAGAGGGAGTAGGAAAGAAGGACAATATAGAGAGATAAGACTATATGAAAAGCATGTTTTTTTTTCTCTACTCATCTATGTGAAGCTGTGCCGAAGATCGAACGGTTATGAATAAACTACTGACGTGGCTGATTAATGAAGTTACTGGAATCTCAGCAACAATGTATACATGATAATATAGTATGCATGTGACTCAAATTGTTGTAGTGGCCATCGGAATTCATCACATTGTGTTCAATTTGAATCCCAAGTAGACATAATGTTCAGTCACATGAGACATTGAAGGTTACTACTGTATATGGGCGTTCTCCATTCACGAAAGATCGATGTATATATAGTACACAATCTTCATTTCTGTTGACTACGCACTACGGTCAAAGTGCACAGAAGAAAAGCATTACTCTTACTGAGGATTAAATGACTAAGATGTTTTAAATTAATTTCTCGTGGATGATTGGCCTGCATTCTTAGATAGAGATTTTTTGTATATGCTTAAGCATAAAAGAAAGAATTTTGTGTTTTTGTCTAGCTAATTAATTAAAACCAAGCTAATTAGCCTATTAATTAGTTGGGGGTTCCCTGTAACAATCAGCCATCAAAATTAATCAAACGCCACTTTGGTTGATTGATGATAGCAAGATATGGTAGTAGGACACATATATAAGGTGAAACAGCTAGCTGACACCAGGAAGAAAACAAAGAGAAGGCATCAGCCAAGTTTGAAGTTAACATAGTGGTCATGGATTTGATGAACAAAGGAAATGACGTAGGTGATCACGAAAGCGATGTAGAAATTAAGAGAGGAGTAAACGATAGGACAAGTGACAAACGATGAACCAGCACTTTTATCTCGATTCACGAATTAAACATTTAGTAGCTAGTACAGCACAAATACTTTTTATTTCTGTCCATTTCAATGATGAGAAAAATTGGTCCGTCAAAGAAAAAAAAAGTATATATATTTATATTTCATAATACTCCATCTGTTTCAGGTTTATAAGACGTTTTGACTTCAAACTGCTTTAAGTTTAACCCAGTTTGTAGAAAAAAGTATTAACATTTCCAACCGAAGACAAATTTATTATGAAAATATATTCAATTATTGATTTGATGAAACTAATTTAATATTATAAATATTATTATATTTGTCTATAAAGTTAAACTTGAAACAGTTTGACTTTTACCAAAATTAAAACGTTTTATAATTTGAAACGGAGGGAGTACGAGATAATTTTGTTTGTTAATTATGATCGCCTGCAATAATGATTCCACTTGAACATAATTAATTAGTCAGAGAATGATCGATACAAATCGATGCAAGGTCATAGCCGCATGTTCCCGTCATTGCCGGCTTAAGCCATGGCAACTATTTTTAGTCGTAGACTTGTAACCGAAGTTAGTTGGGAAGTCTTCGCCCAGTTCATCACATGCACCACCTGTCAAACTACTATTACAGTACACACCGATCGATCACATATTACAGATTCCATCACACACTTAATTACATTACATCAGTATTAATTATATATATCACATGCTAATGTAATATGGAAAATTTCATTGCAAGTCGATCTGCATCCATGATCCATGCATGGTAATTAATCAAGCAAAAACCAAACAAAATAAAACACAGTGACACACACAAACATTAATTAATTACAACAAGTTTTCCATGATACAAATATAGCTAGGCCACTTGATTATATTACTGGCCTCTCATGAGAAATGCATGCATGCATGGCTTGTTTTTTTTTTTTTGGTTTTCTTTTGTTTGAGAATATATGGAAAATTAATCAAGCGACGATTAATTTATCTAAAAATCTCGTATAAATTTCTCGATTATAGAATTAAATGTACCCTAGCTAGAGAGCTCGACTAATGCTTGCTATGGCAGCCATGGTGGCAAGGGGTTGACTTGTCGGAGTCGGAGTCCGACCCGCATCCGCCGCCGCCGCCTTCCTTCTTCTTCCCGGAGTCCGGCCAGTGCTTGACGATCTCGGCGACGAGCAGGGCGACGCCGGCGGCGAGGGAGACGTACATGGCAATGTGCACCTGGTTGCAGAAGTTGCCGGCGGCGGCGGTGGTGCAGACGCCGACGCGCTTCCCCACGGCGCAGTACGACATGTCGCCGGCGGCGAACGCGGCGGCCGTCGCCGAGTAGAGCAGCACCGGCACGGCGGCGTCCAGCAGCGGCAGGAGCACCTTCGCCGGCGTGCCGTCCTTCTTCTTGCAGATGGTCAGGAAGATGGCGATCGCCTCCATGAACGCCCCGATCGAGCTCGCCACCACCAAATACCTGCAATTCAAACATAAAATACCACGCATAAATATACAAATATTATCCTACAAGTATTTTTTGTGTTTTGTACAACTAAATTTAATTTAATTTGTGCGTACACGAAGGGGCCAAAGTCCTTGTAGGTGATGGTGTGGAGAGGGCCGCCGTAGTAGAGGAAGATGGTGCACTGGCTCGCCGTCGCCATGAGCGCCGCCGCGGCGACGGCGAGCCCGAGGACGACGATGCGGAGGGCGAGGTTGACGCAGTAGAGCGCGCCGCTTGACGAGTCCTTCTTCTTCTCGCCCTCACACATGATTGCCTACTTAATTAATTACTCTCTCCTTGCTTGATCCAATGAAGAAGAAGAGAAGAAGAAGAAGAAGAGTAGTATAGTATAGCTAACTAAGTATGCAAGCTAGCTAGGGTTGCAAAAAGTTGTTGTTGACTTGATGAGTTTGATGAGAGAGTTTGAGATGAGATGATGAGTATTTATAGATGGATAGATGTGTGAATTAGGCGATGATTTTATAATAAGCTAGTTGGTGTGATGAGGAGGAGGTGGTAGTCAAATACTCAAATTTGTACATCATCACTAGACTAGCTATTACATGTGCGTGTGATTGAGGAGGTTGATGCTTCAACTAACGTTAGCTAGCTTGAGCCCTACTAATTAATACTCAAGCTCCAGCACACATATTATTGCTGTGCTTCCTAATGAATTGTTACAGGATCTCTCTTATTCGTTGGAGTAGTTATTAATTACAAACCTGGCTTAATTTGATATGGATATATGATTGATTGATTGATTGCCCGTATATAGTTAATTTCTTACTTACCATTTAATTTCTTTCCACGACCAAACCCACTATTTTTTCATTAATCATTGATGGAGGGGACATGATTCAGATCAATGATTAATGTTTCGCTGTATTTTCTTCTTGTGAGTCACAGATGGATTTTTTCTTCTCTCTCTCGAGGGAAAATTAATTCAGACTTCACAGAGTGTTTGATAAGATGCTGGAATCGCATTAGCCCAGTTATGTAGCTGGGCCTCTGCTTTGATTGACGGCCGATTAGCACAGAACAAAGACTTCCTGATATCTCAGCCCATGATCACTCTTGGCCCATCAATATCACCCATCTCGAGGCTAATGACATCACTAGTAGTGACACCATTGACCATATCCATAAGCAAAGCACACACTATGATTAAAACTACATTTACAATCATGACATTATTTGCCAAAGAACAACTTGTCTGACATTAACATGTACCAAAATCGTGTAGGACTCTTTGAGATTGACATCTCTAATAATCTACTCCCAGAAATTAAATGCATGGATTACATCCCAGAAAATTAAGAAAAATTACATTATACTCCCTCCATTTCATAATATAAAACATTTTAGTTAAATATGACACATCATAATACAAAAAATCTAGACGGACGATGTCTATATGTCAAGTTCACCTAAAATGTCTTATATTATTAGACAGACGAGTACTAGTACACTAGTACTTCATTCTACTGATTTACTGACGGCTTGTGCAACTCTGACGTCATCAGTCTGACGAGGTGGGCCACAGGGAGAACGGCAGCGAGACGTCCCTGAAGACGACGGCGAGGCCGACGGCGGCGCTGCCGGCGAACGAGAGGAGCTTCGACTGGTGCACCTGGCCGCAGAAGCGGCCGGCGCCGGCGCCGCAGGCGTTGATCTGCGGGCCGTACGCCGACACGGCGGCGAACGCGCCGCCGGTGGCCGTGTAGACGAGCGCCTGCACGGCGACGTCGATCACCACGAGGAGGATCCCGGGGAGCTTGCCCTTGAACCCCTCGTCGTCGTCGTCGCCGCCGCCGGTGCTCAGCCGCAGGTAGATCGCCGCCGCCTCCAGCATGGCGGCGGCGATGTTGAAGCCGACGAGGTAGACGAACGGCGGGAAGTCCTTGTAGGTGATGGTGGCGACGACGCCGTTGAGCTGGACGACGGTGCACTCGCTCGCCGTCGCCATGACCACCGCCGAGGTGAGCGCCAGCGCCAGCGTCGACAGCCGGAGGAGGAGGCTCACCGCCTTCGATCCGTTCGGCTCGTCGTCGCTGACCTGGCACCCGTACGACATCACGACGACGACGACGACGACGACGATGCACGTTGCAAGCAAGCTAGCTAGATGATCAACATCAAATTAAAATGACGATCAAATTAATCAATTTCGAAAATCCACGAACAAATCTCCATTTATCGTCAGAGAAATACTAATAATCAATCAGGGCGTGAAATTAGCATGCATGGTGACATGATGATCCAGAATATCATGATCGATTCACTTAGTAGGCTAGGCAATACTATATATACAACATGCTTGATGTTACACAAGGCAATTGATTAATATTTGTGATTAGTTTTCATGCTAGTAATAATTCTTTTATTCTGAGCATGCATGCATGCATATGCATATGTAAGTTAGAGATGGACAATTAGAATATTGTTCTAGTTGATGCAAAAAAATGTCTGGAGCACGAACTATATATAATACATAAACATATATGGAGTAGAATATATATAACAGAGCTGAAAATACAAAATTATTGTACCTTGTAAATTATTAGCTGATGATGAGGTCGGTCGATCACTTTGATCTGATAATAAAAATGGATCTCAGGGAGCAATGTATTTATATATGCACACGCAAGTATGTGAATGCATGTATCTAGCTGTAGCTTGGAAGAGTGACCGTGACCCACACTTGTTGGCGCGTCCACGTCGGCGTTGACTAGAGTCTAGAGCTCGCTGGGTCAATACATAGCTCGACTGTTTTCTTTTTCTAAACATAATTTGCCAAAATTTCAAATTAAGGCTGTGTTGAGTTCACATTAAAATTGGAAGTTTGGTTGAAATTGGAACGATGTGACGAAAAAGTTGGAAGTTTGTGTGTGTAGGAAAGTTTTGATGTGATAGAAAAGTTTGAAGTTTGAAGAAAAAATTTTACAACTAAACACGGCCTAAATCAATACATAATTCAACATATATGTAGTACATATCACTGGTGGCCCCGGATTATGACCTCCGATATGAATGTCGTGACAAGACCAAAACGAATATAATATATACATGATTACATTATTAGGTCAATAAATATATAATTTCCCGTTGAATTTTCCAAGCCACATTTCGCAAAATTTCCAAGTTTTTTGAATATTTAAGCAGATAATATCATTGACTCATCGTACGTATGCACCACAAGTTACCCTCGGTCTCACGTTACGACTGAATCTTTATGAATACTACTGTCAAAAAAATCACGGCGTACATCCAATGGTTGGAATAGTAGTAGACTATATGCGACCTGGGGGTTTATAGTATGTAGAGAGAGACGTGAAATTAACCATAGCCAGAGAAAATAATTATAATTAATGTAGAAATGATACATAGATATATAGTTGATTAGATTGGCAGGTAGAAACTGACAAGTCTCTTGCGTGCAAGTCTTTTCATATTGTATACTCCTTCCATCCCACTCTTTCCGATCCGGCCCACTTAGACGCGCACATATTTTAAAATTCAAGATATTTAACCAATAAATATTTTATTATAAATTAAATTTTATTTGATAAAAATAATATCATTATTGTCATTTAAATTTACTTTCATATGATTGTGATTTTGTTGTTTCATATGATTGTGATTTTGTTGCTACAAATATTGTAGTATATAAGAAATTTAAAGTTAAAGATTAGCCTTGAAGGTTGTGTTAAGTTTGACCGCGCATTAGCGAGCGAGACGGACTGGGTACTTAGTCGATGTGTCGCTAAGTTGGTCGTTGGTCAATGCAATTTCTTCACTCTGTTAGTGTTAGGTACTCCTACTACGACTGTACAGGGTAGGAATTCTAATCACTAACTATATGATGTCGACTAGATGGTTATAAAAAATAAATTTAAGAAGATGAATTAGTATGTAATATATTTCTCCACAAAATTCTAATTTTACATCTATATTTTATCAAAAATAACAAATTTAACTATGAATATACATATATTTAATTTATTTTTTTAACTTGTAAAAGTCGAATTTAAACTTGTATGTCAGTTGAGTAATATACTACATATTAATCTATCTTATCATTTTCTTTATTTACAAAATTGTAAACTATACGTGTGCATACATTTCATGTTTACCCAAGATACTAGTCTAGCTAGAAATTAAGTGGATTTTTGTAGCACCCGTATGTGCTTTTATTTAAAAAGTTTGTCATTTAAAAATTAGAGTTAATTTGGTTCTTAGTTGATTTTGTGCCAAATGGATCTCAAATCCTCTCCTAGAAATTTCCTTCAAATACCTGTGATACCCTAGGTCAAATTCAAATTCGAGTTCCTTTCAAATCCTTCTCAAAATTCAATTCCTAAATCCTTGAGAAAATGTGAATTGTCACTGTTCATTTTGGGCCTCCTTCCCTTCTCTCTCTCGGCCCAGCTCCCCTCCACCTCTCCTCTCTTCTCTCTTTCCCCTAAGCAGGCCGGCCCAGCCCAGCCCGCTACTATTCACCTTCTTCCTCCTCAGACCAGCCAAGCATGCACACAAGGTGTTCGACGATATGTCAACCCAGGACGCCGAGTCGTGGCAGCACCGCGTCGCACCTAGCCGCCCTCCCGTGCACCGCACGTCGTGCCAACACCCGCGTCGCGCCACCCCCGAGCCACGCCAAAGCCGCATCGCGCCAAACTCCACGAAAACCGCCGCGCCCTCTCCGGGTGACACGGAGCCACATGGCCCCGCGTCACCCCCGTCCCGTCGCCATCCATTCCATCCATCGAGTCGCCATCCCGTCGCCGTCGCGTCGACGCCAACGGATAACGGCCGCCACGCCACCCCTCGTCATCCCCGTTCCATCGCCATGTCGCGTCGCCACCACCGCTGACGCCGCGCCGTCCCATCCCGAGCTCCCGCGGACGCGCGTCCCTTCGCCGTCGCCTCGTCGTCTTGTCGTCTGTCTCCTCCCGGGAAGCCGCCGAGCCGCGTCTCTCCCTCTCTCTTGCGTCGAGTCGCCACCGTCGCTTGCGTCACCCCTCTCTAGCCCTACCGCCCCAAATCCCGGCCATAGCCGTCGTCGGCCGTGCGTCACCCCCGTCTCGCCGCCGTTCCCGCTCTCCGCGCGTCACTTCGTGTCGCGTCGCCGTCGTTTCGCCGTCGCATTGCCACCGGTGCATGACGCCACTCCGTCGCGTCGCCATCCTCTCCGCCCCGGAATCCCGCCCTAGCTGCTAGCCGACTACCCCCGGAATGCCGCGCCTAGACCGCCAGCTCGCCACCACGTCGCTCGCCTATAAAAGGGGAAGCAGCCCGAGCTCCTTCTCCCCACACTATCACCATCCCAACCCATCTCTCTCTCCTCCCTCTTTCTCTCGTTTTGCTCTCTGTTGCTGCCAGCCAGAGCCGCCGTGCTATTCTCCCGGCGCCGCCGTCGCCGGTGGAGCCTCGCCGGAATTCGCCGCTGCCCTCCCTCAGCCGCTGGTCGCCTCGCCGCGCCCCATCGCCGCGACGCATCGCTGTCCCAGGCCGAGCCGAGCAAAAGAGCGAGAGGAGGAAGAAACAGGCCTCCTCAAGCCTCTGCCAAGCCGGGCCCAGCGCCTCTTTTTCCTCCCTAGTCACTGACGGCCAGGCCCCAGCCCCTTTTTCCTCCATCCATCGCTGACAGGTGGGCCCCTCCCTTCCGTTAATAATTTTGATTTCCAAATATTCCAGGAAAAACCATTTATCCTTTGAAAATTCATAGTAAATCAACCGTAACTCAGATTGACCCCGTTCAAGTTCCTAAATTTTTCTAAAATTGAGATCTACACAGTGGCACCATTGTTTCTCTGATTTGAGTTAGTTTTATTGCATTTTGTTAATTAGATTTGTTTTCGCGTTTAGAACCCGAGTACGAGGAAGCTCCGGACGCCGCTTTCGAAGGAGAAGACCCCAACCGTGTGCAAGGCAAGCCTCTTTGATCACATTGCCCCTATATTTGCAAAGATATGTTGATTGAAAAATGCATTGTTTAGTTTACACGATTAACATGTTTAGGCCTCGGATTGTTTATACAACCGATGGACCAACCCAGTAGTCGCACTTATATTACATAGGTTGATGTTTCCATACCTTTGATAGCTCCACAAATATTTGCGCCGGTATGATTATTCGATTACCGAGGTAGTTTCGCTTAGCCATGCTTACATTGTTGCCGTGTGGGAAACTTGGGTTATTCCAAATCCATGTTTAAAAATCCGGTACGTTGTACCGAGGAGTTGTGAAATAAAATGTGTTGTGAAAGTGGTGATGATGCGGAGTCATGCCGTTGTGGTTTGGCTACGTATTGTCATTAAGGACCGATTCCTTTGGGAAATCCATCCAAACACGTTACAGTGCGACCACACGGGTATTTATGGGATGTCTCTGGCTAAGTAAATTGTTTTCACATGGGAGTTGGTGTGCCAATGGTTGTGGAATGCCGAGAATGAGGAGACGAAGTGTTACACATTTTTGCCCATCGTGGGTGTCTTTTTGCCTCTATTGTGGCGTGGTACCGGTAGGAGTAGGAGGTATCCTCGGTATTTCCTGAGTGGATGATGGCTATCATTGCCTGATACTTGGCTATGGATCTTAGCCCAACTAGGTGGCATGCGATTTTCATGGGTTAGCTTTGGAAAGGCCTTATCACGAACTTTCGTTGCCGACGGGTAAACGATGTCAGTTTCGTGTCGTGTGGGTAAAGCGTGCAACCTCTGCAGAGATTAATGAACTGTTCGAACAGCCGTGCCCACGGTCAAGGGCGAGTGTAAGGTGTTTCTCATAGCGTAGATTTGTTTGAAAAATGTTTGTGAAGAAGTGATTATTGGGAAGGGTAACGTTGCCAGAGTCCGCCTGTGTGGCAGACGGCTAACCTGGGTGGTTAGGAACGGGTCTGTGTGACCTAGGGTGTCGTCCGACACCGAGGTGTTGTTAGGGCCATGATGATGGCGTTGTTGTGCTGAGATATCTGTGTGGTCTATGTGTTGCTGTGAGAAGAAACTAATAGAGGAACAAATTAATTGTTGTTCGTTAATCGTGACAAGTTGTTGCAAAGCAACTTGTGGAATGGGTCGAGGCGTGAGCCTCCTCCCGACAACTAAAACTTGACTCATTCACTAGGAGTTTTGTGAAATAAATCACTTTGCCAAAAAGGCAGCTTTCGCAAATAAAACCTTAGCCTCATTGTTTAAACCAAACATGTCATTTTTCCCCTGGCTTGCTGAGTACGTTAAGTAATCACCCTTGCCCCTTATATCAATATATAGAGTATGAAGATGAAGACGTCGACCCGACCGCCAAGGAGTATCTCTAGGAGCAAGCCGAGTATGAAGACTTCTAGATGTTTCGTGCCTAGCCCCAAGCCTCGCCTGTGGAATAAGATAGATGCCTAGGTTCTTCGCCTAGTGCATAGTTGCATGGAGCACTGTTCGCTTCTGCGCCGTCGCTTTTATGGTTTTCTGTAATGTTGTGTTGCTCATTTATGGGCCTTTCCATGATAGCAACTTATGTAAGGACTACTACCCAGTGATGTAATAAAGCAGTTTACTTTGATTCCACATTTATTCTGTGTGTACCAGCTAGTGTATCCTGGGAGTGGTACTATATCACAGGTAATGCATAACACCCCGGTGTAAGTTAGCTGTGTTAATGGCTAATGAATGTCGGGGCATTACAATTTTTTAAAACCATGATGTAGAATGTAATGATATAGATGAGTATGTGTGTACTTAAGTTGTAAATTGACTTTCTAGTCAAAGTAGAGCACCAACTCGCAAGCCAACCACTACACTATTAGAATTATATATTATGGAATTGCTAAATTTCATTCCACATAAAACCTATACTTCCAAATAATGCAGATTATAGTGTGTTGGATGTGCTTCACGATTCGTGCTCTAGCTATTCTCCTTCAGCTCCGACGACCTCATCTTCTCTGGCACCGATAGCACCCCAAACTTTGATATGGACCTATGGATTAGGATCTCGGGATGGGATTAGGTTGTGAGAGGGTGGGGGAATAGGAAGAAAGGGAAGTTTACCGATTTTAGATGGATGGCTATGAAAGGCAACCACCCGACTGTGGGATAGCCCAACAGTGGGCAGTGAGGCTGCTGCAGTTCCACCAAAGCCACAGGGTCGAAAGCGGGTGGTGGCCCGGTGTTGGCGGCGGGGGCAAAGCAGAATGACTGGTTAGGAGGTGGTGGCTGGTGGTGGTGGATCTAGCATAAAGGGAGCCAGCGTGGGGCCAGCCTGCCACCGATGGCTTGAGGAAAGGGTAGGAGAGGGAGGGGGAGGTCGAGGAGGCCGCCCGGGGGAGAAGGCCTTGCCAACGGTGTTGACGCCTTCCAATAGTCGGCAAGGCTAGGCAGCGGTACGCTGTGGCGATAGTGGTGGAGGTGGCACGGATCAGGCACTGGTGAGTAATAGGGGTATGAGGAGGAGTCAGGAGAAGGAGGAAAGAAGAAGGAGGTGTAGGGTTGTGTGTTGGCTAGGACGATTCAAAATTTGTGATACTTCTAGAGGACTTTCTATTAAATAATGTGTAGGCAGTCTTGATATATTATGTCTGGTTTACTCACGTTTGTTCAAACAACTACGAACAAGACGTGAGAATTGAGATCATGGGTCGAGAAAAAGTATGGACAATTCTTCTTCTATAATTTATATATCCTGTTATTTTTCTAATTTAGGGAGGTAGCATAATAAAATGTTTAATATTACTTATTTAGGACTTCCTAACCCCTTTTATAAAAATAATCCTGATTATTATTATTATTTTCCATTTACATGGCCGGTTAGTTGCTACGGAGTAGCAAAGTTCAGGTGTCACTGGTACAGAAAACCACATTGGTGCCGGTTGGGAAACCACATAGGTACCGGTTTCCCAACCGACACCCCCAAAGCGGCACCAATGAGGAGAAATGATAGGTGCCGGTGTGTAGAACCGGCACCTATAAGGTCCAACGAATAAAAAAAAAAATCCGGCTCGATGTATCGGCTCTATTTGATCCCCACAATATCTCATCAAAGAGCAATTCATCAATATCTTCATCCATGAACATCCTATCCAACAAGATTAAACAACGAGACCCATCCAACAAGAACAAACAACGAGTCTCCGAGATCGAGATTGAAAGATACCCAAGAACATAATTCCATGACGCCATTTGGGTCCAACTACGTACTAAAACTATTAGTGTTCTTTAATTTGTTATGCTTATCTGGTTCGGCTTATTATATATATAGGGTTTTGTTCCTTGCTTACCTTAGTTAGCACTCACATAGCGAATCGCGAGGAGCTAATATAATTAACAAATGATCAGAACCGACAGTGTGCTTAGCGTGCGTGTTTGTTTAATTTGCCCATCCAAAATAATTATACCATCTCGTCCTTTTTCCATACTTTCAGTTAATGATTGTCAATAATAATTTATCTTTCCTCCTTAAGAAAAAAAACTATATTTTAATTCAAAAGTTCACTAGACATCAACAGACGAACACGTGTATATTCGATATACTACAGCGAGTGACATCCTCTCAACATATATAGCTAGATAGCTAATAAATTACCAGATCAAATGGTAGTAACCCGCTCGAAATTACTGCTAACACCAATTTCCTCTTTGATATATATCCCACAAATTTACTGTGGCGGATCATAGAATTACCTCTATATATGGGCTAAGATCTATAGAAACGTCATGGATGAAAACCAATTATTAGATGCTTTGCTCTCTGAATCTCTTGATCACCTTATTCTCACGTATAAATGTGCATCATTAATATTTCAAGACAATTTTGAAGTATGGATGGGGCAAAGCACTACGAGAATATATGCAAAGCATCAAAAGAAGATATATATATATATATATATATATATATATAAATACTTGTATGTCACAGTATCGACCCCAGGAAAACAAGCAAGAGAGAAATATATACTCGAGCATACAAGGGCAATTTAGTAAACTAACCTAAGGGTGCGTTTAGTTTACGCTAAAATTGGAATATTGATTGAAATTGGAACGATGTGACGGAAAAGTTGAAAGTTTGTGTGTAGAAAGTTTTGATGTGATGAAAAAGTTGGAAATTTGAAAAAAAAAAGTTAGGAACTAAACCAGGCCTAACAATGATCAGAGCTTAGTGATAAGACCCTATATATATCACCTGCAGGTGTCCTTGTTCTGACCTGTATACCATCCATCCTTGCGAACACCCTCATATCTGATTTAATTAATCAGCTGCAGTATTTGATTAGCTTAGCATATTTGATTGTTAGAGATTGTTAGAGATTTAATATAAGATTATTAGAGATGTAATATTCGAAACTTAATTAGACTTAGCATATATGATTATCTAGGGTTCTAATACACGACACTTAGACTTAGCATATATGATTATTTGAGTTTTAATACAAGATTAATTAGTAGAGTTTTAATATTACGCTTAGCAAATATTTCTTCTATGAACAGATGGCTGATCGCGATGAGGAACAGATACTGTATGATACAATCGCAGAGGGAAGCAACGAGTACTGGAACGAAGAAGAGGGGAACGAGGATCCAAACCAGTACTTGAACGAGGAGGGGAACGTGGAGAGGGATGCAGAGGGGAACGAGGATGCGGAGGGGAACGAGGAGGGGAACGTGGAGAGGGATGCGGAGGGGAACGAGGAGGAGGCCAGTGGAAGTCATCCCTCCGCTGGACAGAAGAGGGCACGTGGACAACGAGGTGCAGCGAAGAAGATAGTGGGTCGGCACATCATAACTGAGGTGGACGAAGACGGCCGACCTAGTGCCCCGGCAGAAGCAGCCAAGAATTTTGTACGCCATAGCGGTTGGGTTGTGAGGGATAACGTGCCTGTCAGCCAGGTGTACTGGCGCAGAACAAGGACACGCGGGGATGATGACAGCTTTGTCCCGGAATCAGAGAAAGAGATGCTGTGGACCACAATGCTCGAGACGTTCACGCTCCCTGCGGGTACGGAGAACATAGTGAAACAGTGGACTCTTAAGAAAATGGCAGAACAGTTCCAAACCTTCAAGGGAGATCTGTACAAGAAATACATCCTGAAGGGACTAACACCGAACTTCGACGTATTCCCAAAGCTAAGGGATCATTGGGACGAGTTCGTTGCTTACAAGACAGGGCAACAAGGGCAAGCGATGATGGTCAAAAACAAGGAAAACGCTGCCAAGAAGAAGTACCATCATCACTTGGGGTCAGGTGGCTATAGCGTCGCAATACCGAAGTGGGAGGAGATGGAGGCAAGAATGATTGAGAGGGGTATCGAACCGGCCACCGCTAAATGGCCGGATCGATCAAAGTTCTGGTACTATGCTCACGGTGGAACGCTTAACCCAGTTGATGGCTCCCTGGTCTTCAGCGATCAGATACGCGAGGCTGCCAGTCGACTAACGGACGCAGTGGCAGCCTCTTCTCAGGGCATGTTTCGACCCGACAGAGAGAAGGACGAGCTGTCGCTCGCCCTACAGACTCCCGAGCATCCAGGATGAACACGAGGGAAAGGCGTTATTCCCTGGAAGATTGGATTCAAGGAGGACATCCACACGTACAGGAGTCGGATGAGGAGCAAGAGAGATACCGAGGCGAAGATTGCAGATCTTGAGTACAGGGTATCGAGCTACGAGCTCAGCATGCAAGAGGAGGTGGCAAGGAAGGTGGATGAATGCATGGCAGCACATCGGTCCCAGGATCCACAGCCGTACATACCTCCTCCAATGGTCAGCCCATCTGGCAATCGTAGCTGCTGCGCCTCAACGGGGCAGGTAGGATCAGAGAGCATGGACACCATGCAAACCCAGGACGAAACCACATGCCCCGTTGATGAGATCACGCAGCGGACACCATATGAGCTGCATATTCCCTTCTAGAACTTATCAATCAAGGTATGCTCGTAGTTTTATGATTTTTGACTTGTACGTTCCGCAAGTTGCTGCTTAGGTTGATTACTAATAGATAACCTCTCATCACGTGAAGGTGGCGTCGGGAATGGCCATCCCCACGGACATTTCAGGGACTTACCACTGCAGGCCGATTCCAGCAGGATACTCGAGGGTCGAAGTTGAGCTGGTGGAAGCCGCGTACGAGGACCTCGAGTTGGACTACCCAGGAGGAGACGGTGAGACGCATCTACGAGACACAAGCCACGCCATTATACTATGGCCCAAGCGGTACATCATCCTCCCTGGGCGACAAGCGGCGTCTCGTGCACCATCTCCTCCGGCTCCGCCGTCTCCTCCTGCACCATCTCCTCCGGTTCCTCTGCCACGTCCTCCTGCACCATCTCCTCCGTCTCCTCCGCCACCTCCTCTTGCACCATCTCCTCCGGCTCCTCCGCCTCCTCCACCTCCACCTCCACCGTGTCCGCCTGCACCTCTCAAGACAAGGTCTCGCCAAGCTCCACCTCCTGCCAGCACAAGGGCAACGAAGAAGGCCAAAGTTGACACCACCAAAAACAAGGAGCCGCTGTACAATTGCAGTCAAGAGGAGCTTGACGCTTATGTGGCAGCAGAGGTGAAGAGGCAACTCAAGCCTCGGAGTCCTGAAAAGAAGATGCCTATTGACCCGAGCGTGAAGAATTTCTTCAAGGGAATGTCCACCACAAACAAGAAGGCCTTAAAGCTATCGGACTATGACCGAACACTTAGGAAAGCCTATTACAAGAAGTCCAAACCAGTTCCTCAGCTTGGAGAACAACCAAACCAAGTGGTCGAGCCGTTGGTGACCGGAGAAGACTTTGGCATAACGGATTTCATTTCGGACACCGGTCTAACTGTGGCCCAGTTGGTTGGAGGCGCACCAATCTCGAAGGCGGAAGTGGCATACAAGTTTGAACACGGTAAACCGCTTGTCAGGCCTGAGCAGCTGCAGTCCCTACCAACACAAATGTACAAATTCCATGAACGGTACATGGAAATGAGCACCAATGGTAAAGAGATGTTCGGAGCAAGGATCAGAAACCCCGACTTCTTGCAAGGAGAAGATGTTCTATGGATCCATTTCAAGGATGTCTTCGATCTGTACCATCGGGACGCCCTCGACGTCTCTCTTCTAAGCGCATGGATGTTGTAAGTATCTTTGAGTTCGATTTGTTTCGTTCAATAATTAGCTCCTAGCATA